TCCCTGGAGGTATTTAAAAGACGAGTAGATGAGGCTCTTAGGAATGTGGTTTAGTGGGCATGGTGGTGTTGGGTCGACGGTTGGACTCGATGATCTTAGAGGTCTTTTCCAACCTCAATGATTCTATGATTCTAAGAGTACACAAACACCAACATATATTTCCTGGTGCCATGAAGCTCCATTCCAATTTCAGCTAAGCAATCACAAAGCCTGGGTGCTTGAAGAATTCATGGATAAACTTGAATACTCCAACATCACTGCATTTCATCTTTCTAAAATAAATTGTTTCCTGACTGCTCTAAAAGGAAGCAGTCTGATGAGTTGTTCAAACCCATTAAGAATTAAAGATGTAAATACGTATTTTTTAGGTGCTGTATGATTGATTTTTGGAGAAGCACTTTATCGGGTATCTCTATCGTCTTTAGAATTTAACTAAAATAATGTCAAGGTTTTCATATCATTATACGGTAAATTCTTACGAAGTAGTCTGCATTCAAAGATTTCACTCCTACTAATAATATCTTGTAAGATGATAGAAGGCTTCAATACATGTAATCATGATCTATAAAAATTCAAGACAGATGATACATTAGTTGATTTAAAAAAAAAAAGTCAGTAAGCATTTGATGTTGCATAGCAATTTATTTCCAGGTGACATGCTTGCTGTAGGAGGATCTTTAGGCAGAAAGTCAGAGTTCAGTAATTCCGTATGAAGCACCTCATATTTTGCCGCTCACCCTCATACCAGTATGTCGCAACAGGTAGTCACAGTCAGCATGACACACGGATCCAGCCTGAGCAGGCTGCTAATCCTCAAGAGCTGGAAGAGTATTTATGCTGCCCCGTCAAGACAGGTATCTGAGCTATGCTGTACGGTTCTTCACTTGACTGAAAATTGCATATGCAAATAATACAACAGAATACAAAAAATCATTTTATTACCACAACAGAGGAAGGAGGTTAATTCATTATGAACTACATGTTTTTTGCGAAAGGGTATCAGACTTCTCAAAAGAAAGCATGAAAGGGTTTGTGTCCCAAACAATCCGTACTTTCTGGACTTGGCTTTTATTACAATCCGCACCGCGCCCCCCCCCCTCCCGCAAAAGTTTGTCACAAGAGCAAAATATTTACTGTATATACATTATTTTGATAAAAAAAACTGTCCAAGACAACAAACAGGATAAAAGGAATTGGATTCCTTAGATCTGTTGTTATATATCTGCACATAGATACCTCCATATGCCATACACACTACTGCTAAATGTCACTGTTAACAAGTAAAGCACCACGAATATTCTTCTGCATTACTCAAGTAACAAAGTTTGGAACGCTGAAAGGCATTAAACACCCACCTCTTCTCCACCAAATAAATAAGTAACCCTAAACATCACTTGAAAGGCAGAATGACATACGTTTAACTGCACTGAAGTTGAAAACATTGCCAGGTTAATTTAAACATCCAGTTGAGGTACCAAACAGTTCAGAAGACCTTGAAGCATCGCTAGCCCTGCATTTGGCATAGTAAGAGTGCAGCAACACAATGGTGATACCGTCTTTTTAGCTGTACCGATGATGTAGAAATGATTACTAAAATAACACACACTGCATGTTTTAGAATTTTCACTTTCTTTTTTCCCCCTAAAGTTAAGTTTTAAAAAGAGTACCAGAGGCACAATTATACAGATTTATGTTGAGGTATTATTTCACATGAAATATTGCTTGTGTTGGAATAAACTCAGCTTTTCTTTCATCTCTAATACCATCATACTCTAGAGTCCACCTGCCCGTCAATATTTAGGAGATTTATAGATTCAACCACCATTAGTGATAACAGAAGTCACTCATTACATCTCCAAATCACAACAGTAAAACAGACCTCTCTAAATGCAAATACGACACGCGTGCCCATGCATTCACAAAAACGGCCTACGCTTTCTCCTGTTAGATTTTTGGTTAAAGAATACGTTATACGTAGTTAATGGCAGTCACTAAGAAGTGTTTCAATGACAGCTTACAATCCCTGCGACCTGATCTTGCAGCTCCTATTCATGTGAATTGCATGGGAAAGCTGATGAAGGGTCACAAGACTTGGACATTTGCAGATGACTTTGTAAAAATAAGGTGGCAAGAACAAGAGTTGGTCCCTAACCTTCCACCTTTCAGTAAACAGTAATGCCACCAGAGCAAATAGTTTGAAGGATTTTCAATGCCTGTTAAACCTTTTGGCCCTCTTTCTTCCATACTTGTGTATCTCCTCCTTACCCCCCCCCAATGGAAATTGTATTTAAGATTGTATTGTATTAAATTGTATTTCCATTTATTTTGGAAGAAATAAAACCAGTATTTTTTTAAATAATATGAGTAGAAGCTTACGTTCTGAAATGCCTTTACTTAATTAGTCTCAGATATCTCCTGGCAAATTGATCAACTGAGTTCAAGCATGTGGTAATTTAGGAAGCGAAAGAGTGTTTTTTTAAGATTAAGACAAAACTGTACATGTCAGTTTAGCTGTGGCTTGATTAAACTTTAATCCACAAGTCTAACGGTAACAGGTGAGTGCCTGAAAATACTATATTCAATTTATTCTTTCAAGGTAATTTTTTTGCATTTCCTAAGATCAAGCATATCAGAAACTGGAAATGTGGAGGAAATAAGCCAGCAAAATAGCAACACGAATTACTGTGCAAATTCTCATTCTTCCCAGTGAACAGCTGTTAATCAGATGGCTGGCATACATCCTAGCTGCACCACTTACTGCACAAGCATCCTCGGAGGCAGGGGTATTAAGACCCAATGAAAGCTCTACAAATCAGAGGGACAGAAATTTAAAAAAAAAAATCTTCACAAAAAGAAACACAAACTGAGTTTTTTGTTTGTTTAATAAAAGCTTGCAAGGCACATGTTTCAACTGAATTGCAACTTCTACAGCAAAACAGAGCAAGATTTGCAAAACGTTCCCCCAGCCCTTTCAGGGAGTTAAACCTGTGACCTGGTTGAAAACCAAGCGAGGGTTGTGTGTACAAGTCTGACGTAATTATGCCCTGTTATTGTCCTCCTGAGGGATATCATGAAACTTACTGTTTCTTTTTCACAGAAGGTGGAGATCAGAATAGACAATAATATTTTTGCTAATTCATAGCTAGATAAGAAATTAAAGCTTATCATTTTCTTTGTAAGATATGATTCTTCCAGTCACTCATTTTAAAAATGATGCCTTTTTACTGGAACAGCAGCAATGTTTCTCCCACATAAAAGGCTCCTTCTGTTACTTAAGGCTGCTGTGCCAATGGTGCTGCAGTACAATTTTCTCTAATATAAAAAGCAAGGTAAAAATCTTAAATGATTCTCCTAAAGCAGAATCAATTGAAGTATCAAGAATACATCTTAAAAACTATGACAAAACTAGTAACAACAACTATGTCACAGTTCAAATAAAGTTCGACATGTTCGTTTAAACATGTATAAAGGCCAACGTGCTACAAGACAGTTTTCTTCAGATGTACGGATAGCCTCGTTGGTGTTTTTCTTAACATGTGTGCTCTACATGTAAGTATTCAAACTACGTTCTATGTGGTAACACATACATACAGCATTGTGGTAAAACACAACAGGCAGTCAAGGATAGTTAAATATTGCATCTTGGCATGGCAGTCTAAGGCATGAAGCCGTAAGCTATGTGACTTCATCCACCCAAGTGCGGTTGTAACCCTGAAGTTTGCTACCTGGAATACCTTATTGCTGTTATGAAATGGTATTCATGAATGATTAACTTCAGGCGAGTAAATGACTGACACACGGACATATAATTCCTTGACAGTGATTCAAACAAACTTAAATTGTATAAGGAACTCTAAACTTATTTCCAAATATTACATCTACATCCATACTAGCACATACAGAAAAGGTTCCTGCAGGCGTGCCATAGCTCAAGTTAATACACGAGTTTCTGCTGTTATACGGTAATTGAAAAGTCTGAAACAGTCCAGTGCAGTAAAACAGATGCACTTGTCCATAAGCAAATAAATGCAGACTGCATTTGGCCACACATACACACTACCCTCAACACGATGTCTGTATCCCCAGAAAGAATATTTACTTTTAACTTGTAACTCGGTTATACTGATAAATGTTTCTCTCTGATCACATCCAGCACTTTTGATGGATTTGTCTGAACATTGGTTTCAAATAAAATGCATAATTTAACATCTTGTCAAGACTCGTAGGCCTAAAAATGTAACTGAAAGTAAAAAACAGATTACAGACATGTTGACTTTTACAACAATAAAGCTTTTTTCTTTTAAGTCACTCCAATAGTGATAATAGGTTTTAAAAAAAATCTTAGCACTACCGGTTAGTGTAAAGTAAGCAAATGTACCTGCATAGAGCAGATAGGAATCACGCATATACACCAACATGCTGCAGTTCCTAATAATTTCAGAGTTAAAAATCTCTGAATTTGCATTTTATCAACAAGTGTGGTAAGGATTGTTTTGCAGCTTTTATTTGCAGAATGGTTCTGCAGATTTTTCAGTTGAAGGTTCATCCTATTATGCCAGATCCTTCATTAAAGACATCTGGGCTCCAAAGAATCATTCCCACGTGCCTGATAGACTGGTCTCTGGGCCAGGTGTTACAAGAATCCATAGTGGCAGGTAACTCCTAACAGGTGAGTAACCTCTTCCAAAACTTACGTCCTGGCTTTTTGTTCAGCTACACCTACGTAAGCAAAGTTACCGTTACCTTTTACTGGATCCTCCATTCACAACACCAGGATTAGGCCCAGAGTTGGAATTAAAGCATCATTTGTTCTCTTGAAAGTGTATCAGCCAGCAACAAACAGGATGAACAGATAATTTGTAAAGAAAAATAGTTGTAGAGGCAAAGGGGGTCATATAAGGAAGACAAATTGTAGAGGGAAGCAAGATTGCAGAGTACTTTCCCAAATTTTCAAAGATCTCAGTGTAGTTGCATAATTGATATAAAAATAGCTATGAACAACTGTACCATTATTTATAAATGGCGGTGATTATAGTGTTTTAAATTACAGTTATGGCACTCTCTTAATATAACTATCACATAGTAAGTTGAATGAAATGAGTATCACCCATCCCTCCCCATACACACACACATATATACCAGCACGCACACAGAGAGGGTGAAACAGAAGTGCAGAAGTCTCAGTAGCAAACCTAGTTGTCCTGCTACACTTGTCTAAAAACAAGTATGGCATACTGTTGTATACTGGCCCATTCTGATGGCTGCTAAGACACACGTATGCATACACACATGCACATTTAAGCATGGAAAAATCCTGAAGACAAGTTCTTTCCAAACTGAAGATCTGACCTTGTCAACTCCTACTGCTAGGCCTATGTCCAAGCACTTCCACCAACGTGTCTCTAACAATGTAGAGATCAGTGCCTTAATCTATGGAAGTGTTGTTTAAATAAAATCTTCCTTATTTGATTTATACAGACACTATAGCTACACATAAGTTGTATGAATGTGTGTTTGATAAACATTGAAATGTTTACGGTGGAAGACAGGAAGAATTAAAACAAGAAAAACACAAAAAACCCAAACACTTACTTGAAAAGACTCGGGATACCGATTGCTTTCTTGCTAGAAAATAAAAGCTGTATGACTTGAATGAGCTCTTTAAGTAATTTTTCCGCGTTTACTGAAGTCTACCCACACCAGCTCTCTAACACTAAAGTTAGAAATCTCATTTACATGAAGATTAAGATGATTTATAATGGGAAGAAAAATGCAAAAACGTGGAAGACTGTCACACTTTGTAGAGACTGTAAAATTGACATATTTCCCCATTTCCTTCAAGGATGGTATCTGTCTGTTGATCTGTAGTTCAAAGAATTCCAGTTTGGTAAAATAAAGTTGTCAATACACTGCATGTGCGCACATGTATCTGCAAAAATAACTTCCTTGATCAAAAGGAACTTTTCCAACTGAATTTCATTCACAATCAATCCTCAGAAAGAAGCTTGCATGCTTTTTCATAACTGGAAGGATATCACAGTGTTGATTCTATATACAAAATAGGATCTATTCCAGTATACCCGAGTAAAATAATTCACATATGGAGAATAGTTCATTTTGATTTCATGACAAAATCGTCCATATTTTGAGTAGGCATAACTGTCGCCTTCCTCACAAACCACCTGTCAGAAAAGAAGAAGATCTAATTAAAATACTGGAGATAAGTGGTTACAGAACGTAATTCTGTACAGTTAATTTACTTCTGTATTCTGTGAATTTCATTTATGATAGACATTTAATTTTCATACTGTACGATTCCAATAAGCTGAAAACATATTCCCCTATAATCTGTTTAACCATCTAAAATAGCTTTGGTAAATTAATACCTTTGTCAGGATAGCAGACATTAAAACCAGTGTACTTTATTCATACAATAAAGAATGACGGCAGTAGAAATTATCCACATGCCCCATTTACCCAGTACTTCACACCTGACCTGCACATAGCATACGACCTATGTAGGGAAGGAAATTTTCAGTTACCTTTTCCAGGCCAAGTAAGTTTGACATACCTAATAAAGACTGAAGACACACAGACGTATCACCCTATAAATTCCAACCAATTGACTTGGAAGCAAATTGCTTGTGCGTTTCAGCATCTACTATCTGATATCCTTGAAGAAATCCCTTCGCTACTCCTTCTGATGGCACAAGTTTACATGGGTTTAAAAAAAAAAGGTGGCAGGACAAATTAATTCAAATCTATCGGTGGCTACCAAACACAAAGATATTTCCCCTGAGCTACAGTCCTTCAGCAACAGACTGCTGTCTTGCCCTATCAATAATCATATGCTCTCAGCCGGTGTCAGAAACAAGATATCAGACTAGGACTATAGGTCATAGTCCAAGATAGAAAGTAGTACTTATCTTCTTAAACACAGCAATTTGGAAAACACATCCATAGACCTGTCAACAGCATAACAGCCTGTCCACTGTCTCACTTACTTTGGGAGTAAGTAAATGCTGCAGTCTCCAACTACATATGCACTAGCTTCCACTAGTTTGGAAAGTCTTGACAATTTTTCAATAGGACTTAGACAATTTTTGTTAGCAAGCAAACAGAGTTTTGTTTCAAAGCTTCCTGAGACAACATATTATATCAACTTTCAGGAACAAACTATGTCAACTTTCTGAAAAAAATACTTTATTCCTGTGGGCCATTCCAGTATTTTTTCTACAACTAACATTTTTAGCATCCAACCCAGTACAGACTCAGCCACAGACAGGAAGCGTAAGTGATGTTCATTACTAGCCAACCAATCTTTTTCTAAAAATATTGAACACTCAGTTGTCTACATTTAAATGCATACACCAGTTGTTTTGTTACAGATTTAGACTACAGAGATTCAGCAGAACAGATTTTAACTGAATCTCTCATCATGAATCTTCTTTTCCCCTTCTTAATCTCTCCACTATAAATAGGATAACCCTTGTCACTTTGGCAATCCTAATTACACAAAAACAGTAAATGACTGTTTTTGTGTACTGACAGTGCTGTGTGTGGCATTTATCAAAGACAGGTTCCTTGCATTGGATACTGTCTTTTGATGGTCGTCCCCCCCCTTTGACTGAAATTAACATCACAAACAACAGCCACTCTGAAAAGGACTGGGAGGTGTTCCTTAGGATGAACTGTTGAATAACTGGGTGTTAGAATTAAAGGAGGAAGAAACTCATTCTGATATATGAATCAAACAAAAACTTAAAAACCTGACAGTAAAACTGTGCTGCTGAAGTTAGGATGAGATCAGGATTATGTGTGAGAGAGAAGCATGCAGGAAGCGTGGAGATGAGAGATGCAGGGGTATGAATGGAATGGAATCCTGAAATTGTGGTTAATTGTTCCAGCTGACATCCTAAGTGTGAAGAGGGAACAGGAACTTACTCATGCAGAAACAGATCTGAGAGAAACTGAGAGATAACGTGCTGATTATCAATGATGGAGGTTATTCATACACACACACTGTTATGGTATAGTATATTGGTTACAACATGGCATAATCATGGCATACATGATTTTAGCAGCAAGGCAAAGAAAGAAAAAGGATGAATTTCAGCAATGGTAAGGAAGTTAACAGAAAACAGAGACAATATCCTCCATGGATAAACTGGCCAGGAAACCTACACGTGAAACTGACACCAGTTGTAGATTTCAGGGGAAATTAACGAGTAATCCCCTAAAAACATATCACCCCTATAATTACTCCCCCAGATGAAAGCAACTACAGAAATGAAATGCTTGCATTACAAGTTCTTTTGAAACATGTATCATCGAAAGTAGAGCTTATAAAATGCCTAACACAGATGAACAGCTTGGATTTTTCCCCAAGAATGGAATGTAAGACTATATACAAGAAACATATGTATCCTCCCCACTATCCCCCCCACAAAAAAAAAAAAAAAAAGGCATTCAAACCAAGGATAACTTGGTATAGTTAATACACAACAGGCTGTAATGTCAAACAGATGCTTAATTTCTTTTTCTTAGAAAACCAGCTAAATGAAGCTAACCTGTGGTTGCTTAGACGTAACTGGTGACTCCCTCTTTCCTGATGACCTGAGAATAAGCAACCAAACCCTAAGTGTGTTTACAGCCACTCCTGCCTTTATAAAGTCAAAAAGCTTTTGCTGGATTCCCAGGAAGCAGATGAACAAGTGGCAATGAGATCACTTCATAAACCCCATCCCATTCCCCACTTCAGCAGCAAGAGCAGTACTATCAGCATTCAGAACAGACACAGCATGGCAAGGACTGAAGTAGCATTCATGGATTTCTTCATAACTCTACAGTTTATTCAATCAATCTTTCTGCCAGCTGTGGCTTAAACTACCCATTGGAGTGCTAACCTATCCGCAAGACTGAACCGAATAGACTTGTAACCTCATCAGTTGCAATCAAAGAGGCTGTACTGAATTAATGCAGGCTGGTCCTCGTCCCAGGCAGAGTTTTAGAACTGAGTTTATCCATTTTAATATTTCATCTTTAAAGCTAGTAAAGAATGCCCTCTGAGGCAGGGCTTTACTGCTTTTGTAATAACCTCTTCAGGTGTTACAGTCTTAAACATTTTTATATAGTTAAATGGTACTTAATGATTGGCAGAAAAGCAGCACAACTAGATACTAACGTATTAGGAGGGATTAGGACAGTCAAAGAATAGTGTGGGGTAAGATTACAGGTGTATAAGAAACAGACAAACCAAAACTTAATTGATCACTTTTAAAATTTATGAGTCTTTGTCCACATGTCAATTACAATCAGAAAAGTAAGATCAGCATTATAAGAGGATCTCTTTTTAAATGAATTATTTAAGCATTCAAACATTCATTTTTTCTTACTGTTACTTACATGACCATTAGCAATATCCAATAGATCTTTAACTCTACATCCTCTTACAGGTCCCACTTCATTGCAAATTGAATCTTCAATAATCAGAAAATTGGCTTTGTAAGATGTGAGTATCTTATAAATATCCTCTGCTGACCTCTTTGAATAGATCTGATAAATCTATAAATTAAGAAAACATGTTCATGCAATGCAAAAATCAGTGATAAATTAAATACTTGGGGGTAGCAGTATTTGGAATGCCGCTCACATGTAGTGGGAGTGGCACCAAACAAATAATTTGCATTACCAGGTGGCCTGGGGGGCACCAAAGAGCAATGCAAACGAGTGTGTCATGAGGAGTGTTACAAGGTCATCTTCTTTGGAGCATTAACATTTACAGTACTCCCACACATCTCAATCAGGCACTTCAGTCTTACATGATGTCTATAAATCACTGATAATACACACACATTTATGGAATTGGATACTCACATTTTCATTTCTTTTTAGAAGATCATCATCATTATATAAAGGCAAGCTCGACACCATCCATCCAGTACAAAGCTTAATCACACCCATCAACTGTGGACTGCCTGCAAACACAGCAGCCACAGGAGCCTGTCGTCTGCAAAAGCAACATCAACATACACATCTGAGTACAGCATGCATTTCTCAAAAAAATGCTTTTAATTTTAAACACTGTGTGAATCTTTTAAGGTGCTATGGTATGAATTGGAGTGTGTGAAGATATCATTGGGTGTCTAATTACAATTGGTGTTAATGCTGCATCGGCACTAGTTTCCTTGCCAGGAAAAGCTCAGACCTGCAGCAAGATGGAGTTTGCAAGGAAGGTCTCCTGCTGGGGCAAGGGCTGATGGCCGTTCTCCTCCCCTCCTTGCAACCCATGGAGCACCATTCAGAGTGGTCCTGGAATGGATCAAACTATTGCTTTTCTGAATGGTTGCTGACTTGTGACAAAGCAAGCTTGGGAGGGAGGGTAGGTAGAAGGAGGAACAACATGATATTATCTTGTAAGGGAAAGATTTGTGATTATTTTCATTTGATCTCTAGGACCATGTATTTAATCATTTAAGAGTAAATAGTGTCATGATACAGAATAACATCTACAGTAATTATGTTTCTGGGTTTGGCTTCATTTTTTGACTATTTGTATCCCCGCATTAGTGAAAGAAAACAGTCATTGTCACACTTTATTACAGACTTTGGGCAACTTTTTCTGCAGAGAAAATTAAAAATAAATTCATTTTATCAGAGAGAAAATTTTAAGAAAATATATTATAAAAATGACATTCAATTAAAATTCCAATATGGATATCTAAATATATCCTTAAGAAAAAAAATCCTTATTTTCATTAAAAATATGAACAGCTGCTACAAATAAGAGTAGTCAAATTGCTCTTAGCTGAGTGAATCTCAATGCAATTCACCATGATTAATTATGTACTTGAAGTGTAATATATGCAGACTAATGTAAAAGCCATTAGGTACTTGGCATTATTCTACTTGCTGCCTTGAAGAGCTACATGCAATTCACCATGATTAATTATGTACTTGAAGTGTAATATATGCAGACTAATGTAAAAGCCATTAGGTACTTGGCATTATTCTACTTGCTGCCTTGAAGAGCTACAGCAGTGACAAACAACATATAATACTATTAACAGAAAGAAGAAATTGGCTGGAACACCATAATTACCAGCCTTATCTTTTCTGAAGATGAACAGGTTGACATTAAAGACTACATAAATACAGAAAATAATATTCTAAAAAAAATACAGTTAAAGGTAAGTAAGTTATTTGAACACATGGGATCTAACTTTTGGAGAAGTGCAGTTCCTAATGACATAGTTCAAAGTTAGATTGAATGAGGCCAGAATCCAGTTCTGAAACTTTTGGTGAGAAGAAAAATATATCTGTGAAAATAACTTGACTCAGTATTAGCTACGTATATGGCTCAGTATGAACTATATAACATGGGTCAGTATTTGCTATGTCCTGCCTAGCCAGCCAGATAAGAACCTTTCCAGCCTTCTGGTCAAAGGGGAAGTTTGAATCATACATGTTACACTGCATGTTTCTTGACTGAAGTCTCTAAATCCTCACATTCAGGCATTTCATTTTACTGGCTCATGCACATAAAAATTTCAGTGTTTGTCCCCCATGGAATTACAATAAACATGAATCCTCTAATCTACTGAGAAGTTAGCGTGCGAAGAACCAAGTACTAAGATGTCCACCTTTATTTGGAAATTAGGTGTAGTAATGATACTAAACATGATTTGCTTTCAGGATCTTCTCCTCTTGTAATCAATGATAAATTCTTGGTTCTTTCCATGGGAATAATACCAAACTTTAAATACACATTTCTCCTCCCATCTTCTGCTACATCATGTAATGACTTAGCAAGGGAAAACTCAGATTCATAGAGGCAGCTCCACAAAATGCTGAGATAAATATACACTGACATAAAGAACTAAAATAGAAATGTAGGTCTTCATACTTACTTTATCCATGTCATGAGTTCTACTGTATCAGGATCATAGAATTCTTGTAGTTCTGAAAGCTCTGTCATTATCCTAGGGAAAAACTGATGGAAACATATTTTTGGTTACTTAGAGTTAAAAAAAAAAAAAAAAAATCTATAGAGCATCGCATTACATTAAGGCCTTAAATAACACAACAGAAATGGGCTTCATCTGAGTTTTCCCTCCTGATTGGTATTTTTGTTTGAATATTTTGCAAAACACACTGTTTATACTCACCTGACAGCAGGAGGCCTTCTCCACAATAAGTATGTTAAACACAAGTTCTCATCTCTCTCTATTTTATTAGAATACTTACAATAAAAAAAGAGAAAAAACCCCCATGTGGCAACAACGTTCATCACCTTTAACTGGCCTTAAATGCATCAAAACCATAGTTCAGGTTTTCATATTCAAATGCATATAAATAAGGGCACTGAACCAAGAAGCTGACAAATCTCTCATGGTAAACCTGCTTGAGCAGGGTGTGTTGGACTGTTGTGACTTGATGGAAAGGTGCTGTGCAAGTGGGAAAGGAGAGATTTCCTGGAAGAGCATTATGTGGGTAATCTGCCCTGGACTTTACTCTGACTTTTACTTTGATCACTGCAGTGAAGGAAAGTACACTATACTGTATGAAGTAGGGTATCTCAGTTTATGCTCTTGAAAAACATTTTGGGAAAAGGAGGGATTCTGGGAAGTCAGACAGAATGCCAACTCCTTGAGACCAGCCCAGATTGCAAGCCTGCACCAAGCTTCCCTATCCTGTCAAGTTTGGGGGGTGAAGGAAAAACAGGTCCTTTATTAAGATGGACAATTTTAGACTCAAAGAATCATTTAGGTTGGAAAAGACCCTTAAGATCATTGAGTCCAACCATAAACCTAACACTGCCAAGTCCACCACTAAACCATGTCCCTAATCACCACATCTACACAACTTTTAAATATTTCCAGGGATGGTAACTCAACCACTACCCTGGGCAGCCTCTTCAAATGCTTGACAACCCTTTCGGTGAAGAAGTTTTTCCTAATATCCAACCTAAACCTCCCCTGGTGCAACTTGAGGCCATTTCCTCTC